AGAGCTAGTGAACAATATGCTTAAGTAATTGACCAACCAGTGATTTCATTAATATAGTTTCTGTGTGGTAATTTTGGCCATCTGGGTAGCCAGGAATAGTTGACTGATGTTTCCTGTCCCACTGGGTCCTACAGCAGTTGGATCAAATAAATCACACAGAGTTCTACATAAGTTATAATCAGATTGGTCCATTAGTTCAGACTTCTTATTAACTTTTATAACTTATATTAGTTCATTATTCTTGTCTATGTTAGCCACGTGGCTCAGTACCTTATTCAGCGATGCAGTCACATCTCGCTTTTTCTGAGGTTAGGTCATGACTGTCAAATGCAATTTCCTTCTTCCAAGAATTTTTCTGTTCCCCTTACCCCACCTTTACTTCTTATCTAGTTGTCCCACCTATATTTAGGGTTAAGCCCAGCCTTAGGGGACATGTCTGCCTCAGGCGAATGTTTACCTATAAATCTGCCAGATGTGCGAGCAGCTGGCCCTTCTGCTTCCTGTTCTCTGCGGGAACCATGGTACTGTAAGTCTAATTTCCACATTAAAGCTGTGTATATATTTTACAATCTGCATTCATTTACGCCGTTACATTGTGGTGTCCAACATCGGGCAATCTTGCCCCGCCCCGGGAAGGGGGGTGCAAGCTTGCCTTTGCGAGCAAGATTAGGCTGCCGGAGCTCAGGAAGTGTGCTTCCAAGCACATAGCACGCTCCCAGGTGCCGCTTTTTAGTTCATGACTCGTGACTCGGGCCCCAGTGCCAAGTCCGAGATACACTAGGCCACACACGCCCATTCCATTCTGCCTGCTCGCCAGAGCAATTAACCCCTCCCTGCCTGCCTTGGCATTTGGAACGGAACCCCGGAAGCTCAAGAACCTGCAGTTTTGCAACAAAAGCTGCCACAGCGGCAGAGTTGGTCTGATTCATATTGACCCCTTCTGCAACCACTCTAACTCCTCAGGCAGAACAATAAATTTCGGTTTTGAGTTGTTTCAGACCAGCTCTCCACGTGAAATCAAGTGGACTCTTTTGCCACCACTGGCAGAAACCAGTCATTGCAGGTAAAAAAAAAATT